GAATTCACGTCCGCAACGTCACGTCTTTGATAATAGGACACGCTCGTGACATAATGGCAATCTTAAAACGGTTCTAATGTAGATTAATTTGTGTAAGTAGGCATGAAGTATATATTACATATACTTTATAGGTTATGTCACCAATCTAACAGCTTGGTTCAAAACATGTAGAAAACGAGTGCTTTTAATACCTGCGTAAGTGTAGTACAGATATTTTTACACATGTGTCTTATTTTTTCGTAGGAAATGATAATTTTCTCATGAATATTTGTAGAACTATAACGTATTTTTGTAAACATCACTTTGACGGCTAGTGCTATTCGAGTGTCATGAACTGGTGCATCGTTAAAAATTTTATAATTCAGAAATCTTGCAACGGGTAACTTAGGAAATAATATTCAATTAAAATATTAGGTTAAAAATGCTTCATTATGATGATGTAGATGAGTTTCTAAATGCCCTAATAACCTTCAAAATAATATAAAAACAAGAGCCTCAACGTTTGGTGTATTTCCTTGTTTATTTTTGAGAAAGGACAAAGCGTATAAAACCATCGAGTTTAATTTTAGGTTGCAGCAAGTTTTGGCTTTATGCGGTATACAGAAGAAACGGGTTTCCTAAAATGATCATTGACGACCTGGAAGATCATGCTGATAATGAAAATTCTAACTTAGAAAACCAATAAATCTCAAACATTTATTATTGACAATGAAACGAGGCACTTAGTAAATGATGAAATGATTGAAATTTATAGAACATACGCCATTCTTAAGTAACCAGCCATGATCGACTGTTTGTTATTTTACTTGAAATATATATATATATATATAATCAAATTCCCTTTTACCCTTAGGTGTCGGGATTACAAATAATTTCATATAATTAATTTCCTACTATTTATATACAAATTTTCTCCATTGCTTTTTGTCTCTTGCTATTAGCTTTGCTTCTTGCCATGACTTGCCACTATTTTCTAATGCTTTTTCTGCTGCGCTGTCCAACGTTTCCCTTGGTCTTCCTCTCCTTCTTTTAGCTTGTATTTTGGCTTCCCATATCCTTTTAACTTGTCTGCTATTATTCATTCGTTGTAAGTGCCCCCACCAGCTGAGCTGTCGCTGTTCTATGAATTCTAATACCGATTGTACTCCTAAATCTTTTCTTATTTGCTCACTTCTCATTCTATCCATTTTCGTTACTCCTCTCACTCTCCTCAGATACTTCATTTCTGTTGCTTGAATTTTACTCTTATTTTGTCTCGTTAATATCCATGTCTCACACCCGTATGTTAAAATTGGTTTGTAAACTGTTTGATACCCATTCATTTTAGTTTTTGTAGATATTTCCCTCTTGTTAATGAAGCTTTTATTTATACTATGGTATACTTTCATTGTATTTTCTATTCTTTTTTCTATTTCTTTGTCTTGTTTTCCTGATCCTTCTATCAATACCCCTAGATAATCAAAATATTGTACTTGTTCCAGCCTCACTCCATCTATCTTTATATTTATTTTCTGTTGTTCTTCTGTTATTGCCATTGTTTTTGTTTTCTTGACATTTATTTTCATTCCATTTTCTCCTAATACTTGAAATATAATCAATATCAAATATGCATATGCTCTTTTACAAGTACTCAAAAAAACACTTTATTTTTTCTTAAATCTTCATGAAGGTGATGGAATTCACCATATTCGCTTTTTTATTTAGAGGATGTACTGTCGTCATCGATCTATTTTTAATTAAATACCAATTTTTTAAACGAATTTAACAAAAAACTCATGTTTAACGTCGTAACCGTTCAGTGATTAAAAATATACTGGCTGAACGCTAAGGGCGGTGTTCCAATACGGCCACTGGCAATGCTTGGTGCGAGGCTCTGGTCTAAGGTCTAGTGCCGTATTAGGTGCGGTGCTTCGTTTGGCCGAACCTTAAGAAAAAGAATCAACAATGAAAAAATTTTAAAAATTATAATTTTAAATTTTATGTAAGTATATATTTGTCACTAAGAAAAACAGTCAAGAAATAAATCTCCTGTAAATCTTTGATGTAGATATCAGCAGTGATAAGAAACTGAAGACTCTTAGTATTTTCTTATGACATTAGTTTTTTTTTAATGACACTTCTTTAAATTTCCTGCATTCAGACGTGCATAATTTGTCGTATATATTTTTGTAAATATTTTCAGAATGCCTGTTCCCAAAAATTTCCCAAAAAATTATGTACCTATAAATTTCATTGCTATTATTCGTTGTCACTGATAGATATTGATTGTAATAAATCTTTTACGCGACTGAATCCTCTTTGATTATTTATTACGTCTGCTTTCCAGTCATTCGGAATTACTAGTTGCTAACAAAAAACTCAGCATTAAGTATTTTAGCGTTTTGAGTCTCCAACTCACGAGATTTTTGGAGCTTTTAATTTCTCGTTTCTTGTAACAATGTACAAGATGCGTTCCAAAAGTAAACAGGACTTTTCAAAAATAGGTATTTCTAGTGAGACCATTTATTGCGGTAGATCCTTCGCTGATGAACTCTCAAAATTTCATGGCATTTAGACGAATAGAAGCGGACTTATTGCGTCTGAAGTATATATATTTTTGTTATCGGTATACACTGAGAGAATTTCTTTGCTACGGTTAGTAAAAATCCATTAATCGTAGCTAAATGTCTGCATTAAATAAGCGCCAAGTGCCTTCTTACCTCACGAAAACCTGCTTTACTGGAAGGAACTCACTTGCAGTAAGTAGACAGTTTTGCTATAGTCTCTTTGCTACCGCAAGCAAGTCAACTCATTAACCTCAAGCGACCCAACTCATTAATCCCAAACGGGTCAACTCATTAACCCCAAGCGAGTCCTCATTAATCGCAAGCGAGTCAACTCATTAACCCCAAGCGAGTCAATTCATTAACCCCAAGCGAGTCAACTCAATGTTGTACATACCTTGAAACAAGCATAAATAATCTTCAAATCCCCATTCGAGAAGAAGTTAGAGTTTGTATTCAGCCTGCATTATGTGCATGTAATCACGCATGCATATAAGTACTATTGCATATTTACGCAAATACCCAAACTGCAAACTTTCTGGCGGTTGTTAGACAATTGAAAACTGACTCAACACTCTATCACAAAACATCTATTTATTATTAAAGACCCAACGACTAACGATTGACGAACGTATATTCCGTGTTACGTGTTACAGCAAAATGGCAAAACTTCTAACTTCTATGGGCGAAATCATGGTCAGCATAAGGCACGCGTAATCGCGCATGCGCACTGAGCCGAATTCCGGTTTATTCTGGAAATTATTAAGTGAAGCCTCAGCTACAGTACGTGAGCCCTAATTTGCTACAAATAGGGACAAATAATCCCAATTGGATCAATTCTGAAAAAGTACATTCACTTACCCGAGCAAAGCACTTGGGACAGATAGATAGTCGATTAAAATAAAATTCCAACTGAACTATCATATCGCCACAAGACTTTTTTTGTTGTGGTAGCAAACACATTTTAGTAAAACGTACTTACTTGAGGCAGCATGATTTTTTTTCTATGACAGCAAAAATTTTACCTACTGTAGCTAAAATATCTTAGCAAAGCCCCTCACTTGGTGGATTTCTTTCAGTGACAATTGAGCATCGAACAAAGAGATTTAAGTTTTGTTTTAAACTTAGTAAAATTTTACCGAAGCGTTTCAATTGATGAACCAAGTTTATGGTGATGATTGGTTCATGATTGGTTTACGCGGTTTAAAAACGACCATAAGGACTTAAACGATGAGCAACATGTTGGCCAACCAAAATCTGTGATTGCATCAAAACTGTGCTTGAATTCATCAAAGATTAGCCAAAATCTTCATTAAAATTCATGAAATTGGAATTGAGCTTCTCAAAAATATCAATTTATCGTATTTTGGTCGAACATTTGGACTACCGAAAAGTGGGTGCACAAGTTGACTGGCGACCAAAAATTACTCAAAATTCAACATTCGAGGGCATTATCAAGGAGGCCAAACAGGACAAAAACCTCCTTTACAACGTTGTGACTGGTGATGAAACGTGGTGTTTTCCATATGACCCAGAAACCAAGCGCTAAAGTGCCGAGTGGAATGCGCCAGACGAGCCAAAACCCAAAATATCTTCTTTGGGAAAATTGAAAGTGTAGACAATATTTTGCTTTTACGATTCCATGGGCATTGTCCACAAAGAGTTTGGTCCACCGGGCCAAACCGTTAACTCACAATGTTATCTTGGCGTTTTGAAGTGTTTGGTACAGCGTATTCGATGTATTCGGCCAAAACATCGCCCAGAAGAAGGTTGCACGATAATGCGCCATCTCATCAATCGACACTCCACGTCTTCGCCTGATTTGGCATCGTGCGACTTTTACCTTTTCGGAAAAATGCATTTGCCGATGAAAGGGAATCATTAAGTGGACATAGAAGCTATCCGAGTCCTAATAGACATTCGGCATATTTTTAAACCCTGTAAATCGCTGTATTGATTCGGAAAGAGACTATTTTGAATAAAATAAATCGGTTTTGCCAAAAAAAGTTTTTGTTGTTCTTATTTTTAAAAAGTCCTGTTTACTTATATTAGGAACGCACCTTGTATAACTGCAACGATGGTTCATGAATATTTATACCTCTTATCTTGGTGCATCAGTTTTTAAAAATTTAATTAATTGTTTACTAATTGTGGGGTCACTCATTTTAATAATGTTTCATTTTTATAACGACTATCTTAAGCATTATTTTTTACAAACAAAACTCCAGTTTAAATGATTATTTGCAGATTCCTAAGGAAGGTGAACCATGTATTGAAATTTCTCAACGGAATGTGGTGGGTTCCACATATCGCATTGTCTACGAATATGTACGCTTCGATCTCCTTCAAACAATTATCTTCGATCGATAAAATGTCTTTACCGTTCTTAATATTTAATAAATTATTTAGTCTTTTGTTGAATGTAAATTTTACTTATGTCTTATTTCTCCGTTTCAGAAAAATTAGACAGGGACTTAACAACATCGAGAAGCATTGTGAATAAACTGCAAACGAATCCCGGTCTACAATCTTCAGACAGCAAAGAGGATATATATGTAAATAAAAAGAAAATTCTCCATAGCGAAGAAGATACTGACGTCTCATTTACAGAGGAACAAGATACAAAGAAGGAGGTGAATCGAAGTAAAAACGATACGAGTTCAAACCCAGTATACGAGAAGGAACTAAAATGGCCAACTTTTGATATCACAGAACCACAGACTCCTGTAAAATTTGTAAATAACACTGAAAACACTGGAGGCAAGCTTATTCAGAGCCAAAAAGGAAACCAGACGCTAAATAAATCTGCAAAAGTTACATATCCCAAAAATTTTTCATATCATAGAGTCACGGGTAAGTAAAATTACAGTACAATTTTAAAAAATAGCAGTTAAATAGAACTTTTGGTTTCCCTTGTCAGAGATAGACTTTCCTAATAAATTAGTGAATACTCAAAAATTGAAATACACTGAAAACATAAAACGATCCTTTATGCTCATAACTTTTGAACGGATGAACTGATAGGGATGACCTATGCACTTATTGAAAACAAAAAGAGTACTTCAAAAATAACATTTTTTACGAAAGTATACTTATCTTATTAAAAAAGAAACTTAGCTTTGGAATAGAATCGAACTTATCTCGTAATTTCCCTTTAAACTAGCAATTTCTATCCATCTAAAAGAGTAATTTTTGTTAGATTTAGTAAGCAATTAACTTCAATGTAGTAACGTCCAAAATGACCATTCGTATTTTGGATACATATATCTAATATTTATATGTAGCAACTTCTAATAAAGATATAAATACCTGTACAAATCAATCAGCCAGTAGCAAATTATTATATATAAAATAATTTATATATTCAATAATTGCATTGAAGTATTAAGTACCACTCAAAGCTTATTGGTAGAAATCGTCATTACAAGAAATTCATAGACACATAATATGTGTATACATATTATGTATATGCTCCAATAAATGTCTCGTTTCTAAACAGGATTTTCTGTTAATTTTTTTTTAATACCTGTATCGGCGACACTGCATCAGGCCCGGTCTGGCCATAAGAAAGTTTTTTGTAAATTCTTGTGATATAGCCACCGTAAATTGAAAAGAAAAAAGAATAACGTAAAAATGAAAATTGAATCTTTTATAGAAATGGGATTTTCCCAGGTCAAAAAAAATAACACAAATTTTATTATATTTTTTCCCTATACCCCTATAAACAGTGTAACTACAGGATAGAAAGAAAGAAATAAATATCTATTCCAAACTGTAAGTCCTTGAAGCTAATAACTCCTTTATCTATAAGCCGAGGGCTTGGAGGAAAAACGGGAGAAATTAATATCTCCCAAACTGTAAGTCTTTTAACCTTATAATAACCTGTAAGTATACTTGTATTCCTCCAGATAGCGGCATAGCGCTTGAAATGAGCTTTAATTTGAACTGCAAATAGATATTCGTAGATTGTACTAGAGCCGGAGAAATGACGATTCAAAGTCACCTATCCCAATGAGTTTTTTTTCTGTTAAAAAAAATGATTTAAAAACGGAATAAGTACTGCAAGGCTAAGTATATTAAAAGTATATTTTTAATATTTTAAAGATGGTGCTTGAAATAACTAATAAGCTTTAATTTGAGCTGCAAATAGATGGGAGAGTTTGCCTTGCAAGCTCGATCCAGATGGCAGCATGTAAATAGCTTCTGTCATGTCTGCCGCGTTTGCGCGTTGCACGCTGCGTTAGTGAGACAGAATCAATTTATAAATTAAAATTTGAATGAAATTTTTATAACATAAAAATCGTAAAGCCAAACCTTTTTATAAAGATAATGAAATCACATAGTAAGGAAACTTGCAGGTATAAATGCAACAAAATAATAAATAAAGAAGCTAGAAAAGTCATTTTTGACGAATTTTGGAACCCTTTAGATCATAATCAGCAGTGGGATTTTCTTTGTAAGGTGCGTGACACAACGGGAAAAAAGCAGGGTACTGTACGTAATAAATATTCCAGAAGGAATTTCTCTCGCAATTATAAGTTTGTCATTGACAATAATGAGAAACAAATTTGCAAAACGATGTTCTTAAATACGTTTGCAATTTCTGAAACAGTTGTAAGCACCGCTTTGCAAAAAAGAGAAGAGAACAGAAAAAATGGAAGATGATAATAATAATCATAATTTAAACAAAATCGCGGTTCGAAATCTGAAAGACATTGATAAAGAATTTTCGAAAAATGATAAATGCTTTGATTTGCAGAAAGTGTTAGTAACACCCAAGTCAGAAGTCAGCGATTTTTATTATAAAAGTAAAATCGCAACATACAACTTTACAATTTATGATTTAGGCAGCAATCAAGGCTATTGCTATTGTATGGCATGAGTAAATATCGAAGAGAGGACCGGAAGTTGTTTATGGATCTTTTTAAAAAGGTTAAAGAAAATGGCATACGAAAGGTTATTCTTTATTCCGACAATTGCGGTGGTCAAAACCGTAATCGTTTTGTTTTTGCAATGTTTGCTTATGCATCAATGACTTTGGATTTGGAAATAACACACCGTTTTCTTGAAATTGGCCGCCACACGCAGAATAAAATAACATGCTGTGATTGAAGTTGCAAAAAACATCACTCTGCTATATACACTCCTGATAGTCAGTGGATTAGTCTAATAAAATTGGCCAAAGTTACTGCCCCACAGTACAAAGTAAAAGAAATGTCTCAAGAAGATTTTGTAACTTTTAACCCAATGGTAAAGAAACAAAATTGGAAAAAAGATATTACTGGAGAGGCTGTAAAAATCAGCAAAATCAGAGAAATCCACTGCAATCCAAAGTCTCCCAATAAAGTATTTTTTGTGTATAATTTTGGAGAAAATCATAAAGAACTAGACTTACAAACAAATAATACACGCGAACGCGAAGAATATCAATTTCCAAGATTGAATCAAGGTTTGCTGCCAATTGATGGTAAAAAATTAAGCGATCTTTTGGGTCTGTGTAAGGCTAATTTGATACCACCGATGTATCATGGATTTTACAACTCCCTTCGGCCTGCTAGTAAGACTGACCACCAGGAAGAAAGTAATATTGACCAAGAAGATTACTCTGACTCCGAATCGTAATAAATTTGCCTTTTATGTCATTATTGATTATTAACAATTATTTTTTTTTATCTAAAAATAGAAAATGTTTAATTTTTCTGTACCTTATTAGTGTAGCAAGTTGTTTCTCAATAAAAATTTTGTTCACGAAAACTGTAGTAGCTCATTCAAAATCCATTTTTTCTTATCCTAAACTATTTTATTCAGATCATCAATAATTAATTAAGACTAAACAATAATTACTTTGTTAAAGAAGAACGATTTAACTCTTATAATAAAAAAATAACGAACATTATTATTTTCTCAACTATTCAAATGCAATTATCTCAGTATAACCAAATTTGAGATACGACAGTTTTCCTTGGGAGAGTCGATATGCACCCTAATAACAGACAAAACCAAATAGGCCCCGATTTCGATTTTACCCGACGGCCCCCGAATGAGCCAGACCGGGCCTGTGTCACTGCTTTTCAAAAAGAAACCATTTGCACTGTATCTCGAATACAGGGCGTCTAAGAAAAAAACTTTACACGAACTACCCCCATTATTTTTCCACGAGGAACTAGCACAAGTTTTTTTGAAACATGAACGGGACACCCTGTATATTTTAACCTATTTAGGAAATACGATTAATTACAAAATTAACCATTTTCTTATAGAAATAACTATTAAAATACCATACAAAAAACATTGTATGTAACTGTTGCACAAAGTGATTATGGCATTGCATGTAATTTTCAAATTGTTATTTTACTGCTGTAAAAATAATTGAAATATTATGAATTTTCATAACAATTTTTTTACATATTTTTCAAAACAATATTTTTTTATGTGCGTGAAACGATACTATTTACCAAAATTAAGTAAGTGTACCTTTTTTTCTTCCAATAGCATAGATGTGAACATTTTTAAAATAAGTTTATAATAAAAACGCTGAGGATAAAATGGTGGCAGTCAATCCTTTAAACTACCACTTACGCAAGCCGTGGGATTTGAAAAGTACAGTGTAAATTATTGTCCAAATCCCTGCAATCTAAGTTTAAAATACGGATACGATATCTCGACGAGAGCTTTTAATATATTGCAAAAAATTCTTTTCCATTTAAAGGGATATATCTCCCGTATCTTCCATTTTAGGAAAAAAGTCTGTATAAAAAGATATTCTTATTTAGTATGTATTTTTCATGCTGAAAACAGAGAAATTTTGTCCACCTAGTAGATAGATATATTTAACGTTGTAGTAATGATGCTTCAAGTCGTTGCTTATGTAACAACTATTAGTTTGTAGAGTGGTGTAATTCAAGGAAGTGATGGTCTATCCATACCTTTCCATGACTATCATAATTTTTTCTTTAAAATATTTCATATACAGGCTGTTACAAATTCGCTTCTCACTATAGGGTTCTGGGAAACGGTAAAAGCTACGAAGTAGCATAAACGGATGCAGAGTTCAGCCCCAACATTATGCCTCTAAAAATCAAAGCTAACATGATTAGTTTTCGAAATATTTGAAAAAAAAAACGAAATTTTGGAAATCGGTTTTCGTTTTATTTCAGCCTTGTTTGAGGTGATATTGAAAAAGAACAACACTTTCTCATGGTAACTTTTTGTTCTCTATTGTATGGCATAATCAATTTTTATATGTAACGGTTCGTCTCTCCAGAATATCATCAAATTCACTTTTTAAATACGACCCTGGAAAATTTATAATATTTTTTGCCACTCTTCATGATCCCTAACCAGATTCAGACGTTTTGTCTTGAAAAATTCATCTTCAATGTATTCGTTCCAAATTTATTTAAATTATTTATTTACATTTCTATGTTTAAAGAATTCTCGTACACTCTTAAGTGTCGTTAGACCCTGTGAAATCCACCTAGTTATTTAAACTATTACCATCACACGTTACAATAAATCATTATTCCATCACCTGGCCATACATAATTCAATAAGTTGTTGCGTCAAAATTAAAACATTATTACAATTTCAACTTCATTATGGCAAATTACTTCTTAAAAATGCATATGAACAACCTAAACTCCAAATGAATATTATACTTTAAAAAATTACAGTAAATGTAAATTAAGATAAGCATAATATGATCGGAATTTATTATACCTGTAACCGCAACTGTGTAAGAGCATGTCAGATGTATTTGTTTGAATATCCTGAAAAAAAATAGATGAAAATTTGTTTGAATTTTGAGCACTCGAGAAACTCAGAACTATGAGCCACGGGATTAAAATTCTAAT